TCTCTCTCTGACAACATGTCTCTCTCTCTCTCTCTCTGTCTCTCTCTCACTGACAACATGTCTCTCTCTCTCTCTCTCTCTCTCTCTCTCTCTCTGATTCCTGTAGAAACCTCAGATGGAGCAGATTACTTTTGAAACTCTTAAAAACGCCATCGGTGAGTAATCGATCACTTCCTGTTGTATTCATTATTTATTATATTTAAACTTTGATGTGAATTTCACGTTACTGTGGAATTCCTGTCGTGTGTCACCGTGCCAGTGACACCTAGTGGCCTGGAGGTCTTATGTCTTCAGGTCCTGTTTATTCCTGTGAACAAGATATTTGGAGAAATGTTTACTTTGACTCACTTCCTGTCTTCCAGAGGACAGAGGAGGTGTGGAGGAGGAGGAGAGGAGGAAGAGGAAGGAGGTGGTGGAGAGGTTTCAGACGGCGCCGTTTGAGGAAATCGCCGCTCACTGTGGAGCGAAGGTGAGACGGTTTTACTGATCAGTAACATGTCAGTGTGGATTATTGATCCAAAGATGATTTCATTTCCTGAAGACGAGATTTCAACCTGAAGTGGTTTCCTCTGTGCAGACGTCGTCTCTCCAGTCCAAGCTGGATCAGGTCTTTGATTTGATCATTCGTCCTCCTCCGTCTCCGTCCGGACACTCGCCGCCTCGCTCCACGCCGCTCTACGAGATGAAGTTTCCCGACCTCTGCGTCTATTAGATGCGAGCTGAGCTGTTTTCCTTCTCTGTTGAAGCTCTGTCCTCAGTTAATGTGACGTTAGAACACGACTCTGGTTCGATTCCATTGAAATATGTGAAATGAATTATAGGTGTATTGTTTCTTCGTGCTTTTATTTAATGGATTGATTCAGTGATTGATTTCTGTTTCCTGTTGTTTATTTGTGTCTGTGATCAGAGATAAATCTGTTCCGTCTGTAGACGACAATAAAACATTGATATCAATTATTGATTGATTGATTTATTCAACAGCTGCGATGATCAGCTGATCAACAGCAGAGTCTGTAAATATTGATCCTGATCCAGGATCTGATTTTATTCATCTTTTAACGTTTGTCGTCACCAGTAAAGAAAAGATTTGTGGCCTGATAATCGACCAATCACAGCTCAGAGGTTGAGAGATTGTTGAGTGGTGAGTATCCTGTTT